GGGGGGGGGGGGATGGGAGGGAAGGAGGGAGCGACGGGCTTGCCATTTGTTAATGATCAAAACTGTGAATGGCAAGTTCGCAGATACGGAGGGATGCCTGTATTTATCTGTTTACTGTTTGATTTTTTGTTGCTGATTGTGCTGTATTTATTGATGTTATAGTTACGTTGTGTTGCTTTTTGTGTGTTTGTTCTAATTGTTTATTTTATTGTTTACTAATTGGGGGTGATTTGGAGGACATTGTTAAAATCATAGCTTGAAGGGGCCTTAGGAACTGTCCACCACCCTACTCAGTGCAGGATCTCCAGGTAAGGCATCTTCAGCACACAGCTGTCCAGCCTCCTTTTTGAAGATGTCCAAAGAAGGAGACCCCACTACCTCTCTAGGTAGTTGGTTTCATTGAAACCACTGTTATTGTGAAGACATTCCTCCTAATGTTCAGCTAAAATCTACTCTTCTGTAATTTCAGAATATTAGACTTGGTCCTGTCCTTTGGGCAGCAGAGAATAGGCTGAACCTATTTTGAAAATCTCATTGGTTTCGAAAGACCTCTGCTATGCATTGTGATGAGCAGTAGTTTGAAAAAATACAACCCTGCTAAGGAAATTCTAACTAGCCTCATTGTTGCTTGCTTTTAGTCCCTTGAAAAAAAGTCTGCCTTTCTCAGTTAATTATTGAATTGTTTCCTCTGCTTCTACTGGCATCCCCTTCACCAGTAGGGGATGCCAGTACTGCCCCCTCCACTCTATGACAGCCCTTGGGGTATTTAAAGAGTGCAATCATGTCATCCCTCAATTTTCTTTACACCAAGCTGAACAAGCCTACAATGGCAAACAGCAGTGATTGTCAGATTTCTTAATATTTTTCTTTTAAAAAACTTAAAATGAGTCACCCACACCAGTAGATATGTCATCTAGTATAATATGGATAATATACAGTTGCCCCTACGTTTTCGCAGGTGGTCTGTTCTGGGCACACACACCCAGTGAAAATGGAAAATTGCAGATGTTCAAGCCCCATTGGCTTGAATGGACACGTTCTCCTGCACACGGGCTTGTGCGCGCGCCATGGACATGCACACCATTTGAGGCTTGCCGGTGCGCAAAGGACTGAGAGACCGTGGTCTCAAAGTCCGCAAAAATGGAGGGACAACTGCAATGTAAACCTGAATATATTTTAATAGAAAAATGGCTGTGTTGCCCAGTAGGGTCTGGACTTCATGCCATTGCTATTTCCTGCTTCAGTGATATATTATCTAGCGTCAGCATGGCACAGTGGTTTGAGTGCTGGACTACAACTCTGGACACCAGGGTTCTGGGGTTTGAATCCCAGCTTGGCCATGAAACTCAAAGGGTGACCCCCGGCAGTCACATGTTCTCAGCCTCGGGAAGGCAATGGCAAACCTCTTCTGAATAAACTTGTCAAGAAAACGTCATGATAGGTTCACCTTAGGATCGTCATATGTCAGAAGTGACTTGAAGATACACAACAGCAACAACAATACATTATCTTCCTCCTGTACAAAGAATTTAAAGGCCTTTTCCTTTCCTGAATCCTGACTTTATATAATAATAATAATAATAATAATAATAATAATAATAATAATAATAATAAAAATTATTTATACCCCGCCCAATGGTAATCCAATCCGGGCGGCTAACAAATTTAAAACAGACCATCCACGATAAAACATACAATACGACATAACCCCCTCCCCCCTTAAAACAGTATTAAATCAAGACAATATAAAACAACAATTCAATTTAAAAATTTAACCCTCCAATCTTTAATGTTAAACTTTAATGTTTAGCTCTAACCTAATCATTATCATTAGCCCTCAGTATAGGTTTTTGGTTGAACTTGAAATTCACTGTTGCAGACAACTCCATTTTAACGTTCTATATGACATCATGTAATTCTTTTTTTAAAAATTAAATTGTAAAAATTGAAACAAATTGTTCAGCTGGGAGTTGTCTCACTATTCAGAAACTTATCTTGATACAGTCATTCTTTAAATATTGGTTTTAAAAGTTTTAATATGCCCTCCAGTTAGAATCTTATAGTTTCCCCTGATACAGATTCCAGAGAGTGAATATTAATAATAAACATTAATATTTCATTTGACTGGTATTGTGAGTAAAGGATACTTGGAAAACATGTAGGTGGCACCTTCTAAGGTCCAGTCTAATTGTCCCCAAAGACTAGCCGTAGTTTATTAGCTGGGAGGAAGCCAATGTGATCTTGCACCTTTCCCATTAATGTCATGCTCAGATACATTTCTGTCTTAATCATAATATTACATCTGCCCATTATAATCAACAGTGTTCCTAAGCGTCACCTGAGCCAAACTGTGTACAAATATTAAAATGCAAGAGTTCCAGATCCCTCTTCCTATCTGACTATTTCAAAGTAGGTAAAAGCCCTATAATCCACCCATATAATATATTGTACAATACAGAGAATTTATATAGATACCATTATTTTGGTTGGACAAGACTTACAGGGTTGGGGTGGGGCTTCTTTTTTTTCTTTTCTTTTCTTTTTTTTTAAAGATTTCAAAACTAGAGTGAAAAAAGGATTAACATCTGAGTCTCAGAAATAGTAAAATTTTAGATTCCATTTGTAGATAAATAAAAATGTATTAGAAATTTGTTCTGGTATGCTTTGGAGTTCTGAAGCAAATAGTTCAATATATTCATTTTTAAGGTAACACTAATTTTATTGATGCGAGCCAATGTGGTGTTGTGTTTGAATCTCGTGAAAACCCACTGGTTGACCTTGGGCAAGTCACATTCTCTCAGCCTCAGAGGAAGGCAAGGGTAAACCCTCTCTGAACAAATCTTGCCAAGGAAGCATTGTGGTAGGTTCACTTTAGGATCTCAGTAAGTCGGAAATTACTTGACGTTACACAACAGCAACAGCAACAGCAACATTAATTTCATTGAGGCCACACTACTATCGTATTTTCCGGCGTATAAGACGACCGGGCGTATAAGACGACCTCCAACTTCTCCAGCTAAAATATAGAGTTTGTTATATACTCGCCGTATAAGACGACCCCCTCTTCCAACGAGGGAAAATGAGAAAGTGTTGGGGGGAAGGACTGCCAATATCCTAGGTG